TGCACAGATTAGAAAAGCAGCTCTCCATGCTAATTTCTTAAACTTGGCTTGTCAAGCAAAGGAGGGCTTGTCACTCACTGCTGTGCCTTGGTGTCCTCTTAGCTCCATGCCCTGGACCATGGTGGTGTTTTGGGTACCACACAAAGGAAGTGCAGGAACTGATGCTTGATGAACACGTGCTGAGCTGTGCCCACCTGTTGGGGACACTGCATGCATGTCAAAAACAGAAATTCTGGAGTCTTTGGAAGAGGCCTTTGGATTAGACGATGGGGAGGGCCGTGCAGAGGAGTGGGTTGTCATGGGAGGTGTAGGTGAAGCATTTGCAAGTGCTGTGTTTTAGTTCCCCTTTTAATAGAGGGTCTTTGCAGTCAGGAGCTGTTATCAGGCTGCACAAGGCATGTGTTTGTGCAGCCCCTAGTGAAAACTTGTGTCATGTAAGTGGCTGGCATCTGTTTAGATTCTTACTGAGGAAATTCAGTGTTTATTGGAGGACACCAAGGGAAAAATGGAGGTGTGACTTCCAGAATCTAGGAGCCCAAACTAACTACTTTGCTCACTGCATTTTCCATTCACCGTGCCTGCCGTGGGGGCTCGTCAAGCTATTGGTACAGGTCTGCTTTCAATTCATCATAAAGGGGTCTGGGCTAAGAAAACAGTACTGGATTAAATGATCTCTGCTAAGAAAACCTGGTAATGTGAAACAATATCCAGGTTGTCTGGGCATAACTGTGCAAGCATACATGCTGTAGCTCTGTAAGATGCTAACTGATGTAAACAACCATGTAGCCTTAGAGGATTTGTACCAGAATAGTTTTGCATCTCTAGAAATGTTTACTGTGATCAGTAGTAAGCTCTCTCACAGTACAAATGAAAATGAAGCTTGTTCTTCACTTAAAAGATGATTCATGTTTTAGGGAAACGAGTACAAGACTCAAACCAATTTCTTAGTACTGGTCAAAATCTGACCAAGCAGCTCTTTGTGGTCCCTCCCTGCTGGGACAGTTCAGCTCCCTGCGGGCTGCCACCACCTCACCCTCTTATGCTAGGGAATGATGATGAGAAGTAATTTTGGTGTTACATTGTTATGTTAAATTTGAAGAGGAATAATTTCCAGAAAAGATACAATGTTCAGAGTGTTTTCTGTGAAATTGTGAGATGTCTTGGAGATAGAGAAATGTGATTATTTGCATCACCTTTGGTGGAAGAAGCCTTTAAGAACAGCTTCAGAAATGCTCTCTGTAGTTTCCTAAAGAATACTGTAATATTTCTTAGATTGATATGTAATGGAAAAACTCAGTATCTAATTTTTTGGCTCACAAGAAAAAATATTAAATTCTATTATCAAAAGCAGAGTCCTTGGGAAAATAGCATATATATATGTATATGTAAATATGTGAATATGTTTGTATCGTGCATCTTTGTTGCCTTTGGACAGAGTGAGGGTGCTTCCAATGTGAGACATCTCCTTGTGCTGGGGCTGTCTAGATTTCCTGTAAAATATAACAGGAGAAAAGCTTATTTGGGCAGTGATTTGTATGTTGTTGAGCTGTTGTCTTCAGTGCACTGCAAGAAAGTTTCTTGTCCTGAGATCTTATGTTGGCTTAAAAGACAAGGATGTGGAAACTGTGTTCCTGTAACTTCAGTGCCCGCTAAGCAAGTGGCCCTGCACAAACCCCTGAAATGAGCAAGACAGAAAAGATTGTGACTAGCAAAATGAGAAATAATACAAGATAAAGGGTCTTGAACTTCTCGAAGTGATACCTTTAACATTCAGTCCTATGGCTCTTATAGCCCATCTCTGAGTTATTGCAAAGTACATCTGTTGGCTCATTAGCAGTGTGTGAACTGTGCTGGCCATGGTTCAAATGCTGCTAATCCAGTGCGTGCCCAGGGCTAGGTGATGGAGAGGAGCCTTTCACCTCATCGCTGAGTCCAGGGGGATTCTTGAGGGAAGGTGTCCTGTCTCTTGGCTGTTCCTGTGTGCTTTAAAGTGTCCTTGTTTTCTTTCGTTAAGGGTGTACCAACTCTTGCAGCATAGCTACTTGCTGTGTGCCTTTTCCCATTCTCTCTCTCTCTCCCCTCCCCTTTTTTTTTTTTTCTGATAGACCAATGCAGTGCACGCACTTCAAGTGACCAGTCCCTTGAAAACACCATATATAAATAATTTTGAAATTGCCATCAGTTGTGGCTTTGTTCTAGCTGCTTAGGCCACAGTGTTGATCACGTGAAAAATGGGGAGCACAGAAATACCGTCCCTGCACTGCCACCCCACTTACCTCATTTGCTGCCTGGAGCTTTCTGATTTGAGGGTGTGCCCTGAGCTGGATAAGTGCTGGCAGTCTCTGCTACACACTGAGAGGGCTCCGACTCCCTCCACGCTGTGCTGGCACTCCAGAATGTTTGTTTCCACTTCTCATTTTACTAATTTCTAACCTGCCTGATTAGGTCAGAATCAGGTAGTCCTGCCCTAAATACTTTCCAGGAGTACTGCCAGGTGTCTCAGTAGGAATACCAGATGCTGTTTGAAATTCTATTTCCCAAGAAAAGTTCCCTGCTTTTATTTCTTTGGTTAAGTGTTTCCATCTGGGGACAGTGCTGGTGACAGACATACCTTTGGTAACTTCGGTCTTCTGACAATAACTTACAGGAAGTTCTCAGGATCTTTAGCTTGGAATCAGGAAAAGTAGAGGCTTCATTACAGGTCATGGAGCCCAGAGAGAAGAATCTGGAAAATAGACAAAAACATAGGGCCCTCTAGTTCTGTTTCAGCTTGGAAAAAAAAAGGAGGGGTGGGAGGGAAATACTAATCTGCACAGTGTGCTTCTACATCTTACTGGAAAAAGTTTTTCCTTCTGTTTCCAGGCATACAAAATAATTGTTCTCTCTTGACCTCTAAATGAGTAAGAGCAAATCCACAGAATTTTGCAGCCCTGGGCTTGTTGATCTGTAACACTGATTCAAGCCAAATTTCTTCTTGTAAAAAGATTCTGCTTTTGCCTGTATGAGGTTGAAGGCTCAGATGTGATACTCAGCATGTGTTGCCACTCTCAGCTCTAATAAAATGCAAGTACTGGTACCCAGCTAGAGAGAGTGGCATTACCTGTGCAGAAAGGAGCCCTGCGCGGCAAACCTGGCCACTTTCCCAGGTGCCTGAGCTGTCACAGCTGTGTTTGCACAGGCCTGCAGCGAGAGGGGAGGGCTCATTGAGGCCAGGTCTGTGCCGGTCTCTGCAGTGGACGTGCTTTGCCTGGCAATGGGGAGGGAGGAGACAGTGGCGTGGACTGCACTGCAGCACACTGCAGCACTCCTGGAACAAAGATTTGCTGGGCAAACAGGACTTGTGTTGCTGCCGTGTGCTGACCACAGCTCAGGGGAAGAGGGCCCTGAGACTGCATCAGCACAATGGGTATTTCCTCATGTAACTGTCAGGCCTTTCCCAGAGGCTTTGCAATTCATACAACAACTGAAGGATTAATAAGGCACTAATTATAAGTGGTTTGGACTAGTGAGTGCACCTCTAACAGGAGGTGTCGGCCACAGTCCTTTGTCCCTGGCTCTTGAGCAGCCAGGGTGGGGTGCTGAAGCTGGCCAGAAGGGAGTGGAGCTCTTGTTTGCTGTCAAACCACAGCAGCCTCTGGGTGAGAAGGGGACATCTCCAGCCAGTGGACCCGAGCTGTCTCATACCAATGGTCGGCAATATAGTCCTTAGTGCAGTATAGCAGAGACCCACATGTCTCCAATACCTGTTAGTGAGAGTTGTGCCTTGGAGTATAGCGTACAAGTACTCCTGCAACCTTCTAGGAGGACTCTGTGTAACCAGGTCACTTGGAGAAGACTTACTTTTTTAAAACTTGATCAAAGCTTGTCCATTTTGGTGCACATATTCCTTTTGCTGTCACGTGGGCTTTGTTTGGGGTTGTCAGTGTTCTGTACCACCACACCATCTCCATGGATGCATGAAGCCAAACAGGATGAGGGCTGTCTTTTCCCCCCAGTTTACTACATATGCCATTAGCATGATAGCAAGATTCATTAAATGTTCCCTATCCACAAAACAATCCTGCTCAGCTTCATGAGCTGCATGAAGCTTATCCCTTATGGGTCACAGGACAGAAGGAGCTCCCTGTGTCTGCAACCACTCCCTCTGCACTGACTGGCCCTAACCACAGAATCGTTGCCTCAGTGGATCTCTACAGCATCAGGTCTGGCAGTGATCTGTTAACCTGTCTGAATCTCCCTGCTTCACCATTCAAGCATTGGTAGTTGTAGGATAGTGCTATGTTACAGCACAGGGAGAAGAAAATCAGTAGCACAGCCCTGAGACTTCTGCAGGGACCAGAGGGCTCCAGAATTGCACTGCTTTCCAGAATGGTGTTACGGGACTGTCCATGCCTGTATGCTGATTTCTGGTAGTTCTGTTTCTGACACTTGGCTGAAGCTGTTGTCCAAGAAAGGGAGCCTGCCAGGGAAGGAGCAAGTGCCCTGTTAAAGGCTCCTTTTCCTAAGCACAGAAGGAAGCAGAAGAGTCTTTTTCCTCCAGGTACCACTATTGCATGATTCCAGGAGGCAAGCCAAGCTGAATTCAGGACTCTTGTAAAGTAGGGGGATGACTCTTACATGGCAGATATGATCCTGCTGATGCTCTCTGAATGGGTATATTTGCTTAGAGTTTATTTGTGTTTTCAAAGACCCCGCATTACCCCGTCCATTATTGTGTGAATACAGCTGGACTCACAGGGAAAGGGATCTGTCTTTTGCCTGCGTTTTTCATTTTTCTGTCTGTTTTCTGTATGGAAGTTCCCTGGAATTGCAGTCAAAGGGTTGCTGCAGGAATTTGAAGAGCTAGGATGCTGCAGGGCAAGTGTGTGTGCGGATTGCCAAGCAGAGCAGATCTCCTCTGTGACTTCCAGGATAGCTGTTTGTGGCTTCCTGCAGTTGGCTGTCAAAGCCTGAGCTTGGTTTCCGTGGAAAAATCCTTATTCTGGCTTTCTCCCACGTAGATAACCAGTTCAGGATGTCAATATTGGAACGACTTGAGCAGATGGAGAGGAGAATGGCTGAAATGACAGGCTCCCAGCAGCACAAACAAGGAGTAGGAGGCGGGAGTAATGGGAGTGGGAACGGTGGAACACAGGTCCAGGTATGAACCCCGCTGTGTCCAGAAATGACAGCTTTATGCTTTCTTACCAAAGTTTGTTTTTTTGGGGGGAGGGGTTTGGAAAGGATTATGGTTTGTCCTAAGTAATAAATCTGGTTTGTGGATGTCTAACAGCAATTGGTTTTCAGTTGCGTTGGCCATTGTCTCAGTACTTGTAGAGGCGGAAGGCTGCCTACTTGAGGCAGGTTGCAGCTCCTCTCCGTGGCTAAATTGGGATATGTGTGGTGTTTCAGTGCGTTTCTGGGACTGGGACCCTGGGCAGCTGCTTTGAGAGCCGCGTGGTGGTGGTGTGTGAGAAGATGATGAGTCGTGCTTGCTGGGCAAAGTCCAAACACTTGATCCATTCAAAGACTTTCCGAGGAATGACACTGCTCCACCTAGCCGCTGCCCAGGGCTATGCTACACTGATCCAGACCCTCATCAAATGGCGGTAAGACCCAGTCCATTGGACTCTGGGGTTTCAGTACAGGCGTGGCAGAAGCATACATAAACTGTGCTCAGTCCACATTTCTGGTTGTCCTGTACAAACAGTCAAGTCCCTGAACTTGTTCCCATCCCCTGATCTGACAGGACCTGTCTCTTGAGAGAGCGAGTCCAATCACTGGATGTATCATGCTCTTCAGGTCTCTGGTGGGGGCACTGTCTGGAGTAAATACATGTGTTGTGGGCATGTGCGTGGCCACTTCTCTGTGGTGTGGTGCATTGGGTAAAGCTGTGCTTAGGCTATGATCCTGACATGGCTACAGAGCACCATTTGTTCTGTTCTTTCCCCTGCAGCACTAAACATGCAGACAGCATCGATCTGGAGCTGGAAGTTGACCCTTTGAATGTGGATCATTTCTCCTGCACTCCTCTGGTAAGAGCAGAACCTGAAACTTCTGAAAGAGTCTGAGGACCCTCTGGAGTTCTTTCTGATGTGTTATTTTCCTAATGTGTTTCATTCTCTGGAGAGTAGATGTTTCTTGTATCCCTGCTCTGTACATGGTAAGACATGGTACTGTCAGCTTCCTGGCATTTTGTTTTGAGAGAGCACACAGAACAAAACCTTGTCATTGAGTAACATGAGGAAAGGGGACAGACAAGTGGTTCTGGTGTGTGTTTTACACAATATCTAGTCTCCACTATCGTGCTAGAAAAAGAACTCTGCACGACTTCTTTCACGTTGTTTTCTGTGACTGTAGAGGTTGTAAAGTCATTACAATATCTTGGTCATTGGAATCATGAAATCATGGCTGAGAACTTAGACAAGTAAAAAGCCAAAGCAGGTGGAACCATAATTTCCAGTTTACAACAGCAGAGTATTGATTTTATTTTTCTCAACCTTTGGTCCTGTCTGCATGTTTCTGACCTCAGAGATTCCTTTGCGTATGAGGCTGTTCTGTCTCTGCAGTGACGCCAATGTCACAAAAAAAAAAACAACAAATCAACCCAAAATTTATTGCTAAATAAAAAACCATCACTCTGTCAGCTTTATTTGGCAGATGGAGGTTTCTCTGTTGTAGGAGAGAATAGCATGTATTTGGTCCTCTGTAATGGCCTTTTATTGAGATGGGACAGTTATAAAAGTCATTTGCTGGCTTCAAGCATGTCATGGTTATGTTTATCAGTCATTTTTCTACGAGCTGGGGACCAGACTCCACTGTATTATCAAGAAAGGAAGGAGAAGGCAGGTTGCCCAATGGGTCAATTATCTTTTCTTCTTTAGATGTGGGCATGTGCCCTGGGCCACATGGATGCAGCTGTTGTGCTGTACAAGTGGGACCGCCGAGCCATCTCTATTCCTGACTCCCTTGGGAGACTGCCACTGGCCATTGCTCGGTCTCGGGGCCATGTAAAGTTGGCAGAGTGCTTGGAGCAGCTACAGCGAGATGAACAAACTCAGCTTGGGCAAAACCCCAGGATTCAGTGCCCCTCAAGCACAGACTCCAACACAGAGAACTGGGTGTCCCAGTGGCACAGTGAGCTTGTTGCCTCTCAGGAGCCTCAGAAGGGAGTCACAGTGATTTCCAGTACAAACACAGGTAAAACAAACTGGAGGGCATGCACTGTTTTGCTGTCATTTGACATGTGAAAACGTGGGAGCAAGGAGGTCACCTGAGCAGTGGATGCCACCTGTAGCCCTGGTGTCCATGCTTAATTCTTTTCTTGTGCTCTGTACACTTGCATAAGCATCAGGAAGAGGAGCGAATGCCTGCTTTGGAAAGAGACGTGTATCTTAGGGAGTGGTTGAGGCATTATCCTCCCTGGTGTTTGTTACTCCCTTTGCACATCCTCTTGGGTGTCATGGATCATGGCACAAACTTCACCCTGCAGCTCTGAGGCAGAAATTGTTCATTTTCCTATAGTGATCATGGATTGCATGTTTAGTTTTAATTATTGATCTGTTTGTTTCCAGAGCTGAGACGGCCAAGATCAGAACCTTCCAGTTATTACAGTAGTGAGACTCAGAAAGATTACCCTGCACCCAAAAAGCATAAGCTGAGCCCTGAATATTTTCAAGCCCGGCAAGAGAAGCTGCTTTCCACTGCACTGAGCCTGGAGCAGCCGAGCATTAGGAAGCAGAACTCCAGCTCCAAGCAATCCTCCACTGAGACAATCAGCCCCAGTGAACGGATGAGGGACTATGGCCGGGAGCTCTCCCAGCACATCCCAGAAGTTACTGGGTACCGGGGCTCTGGCAGCCAAGCAGGCATCAAATGGAACCCAAAAGACATTTATATCGGTGTGTCTGCAGTGCAGGTGGCAGGGAACCAGAAGGGGACTGCCCTGGGGAAGGATGCTGTAGCCCATCGGCTACGCCAGCGGGAGCAGATGAATGTGCTGATGATGGCCGACAGGGAGATGGTGGATGCAGAGCTCTTGTCCTACAGAGACAACGCAGGGGATGAGGACTGCTTACACCACATGGATGAACTGCAGGTAAACATACGCATAGCACCAAGATCAGTGGTCTTGGAGAACACGGTGGCTTCGCAGAGGAGCCTGGCTGTGAGAAGCTCCTGTGGAGGCTTCTAGAGACTCTAAATTGTACTTTGAGAAAAGATGTGGTCACACAGTCAATGTATACTTTCTTCCAATTTCAATCTGGACACAAAGGCTAATGGTTAGCATTTAGGATCGTGCACTAGCATAAACTTCAACATCGTACAGAATGCACAAAATTGTTTGCAATTGTGCAAGGAAAAAGGAAAAAAGCAGAACCTCCTGCTCACAGCAGTACATGAGACTGAGGTGGCCCCATAGTCCTTTGGGAACTGAGCAACAGTCCCTACAAAGACAGGAAGATCTGAGAGGGGTAGTGCTGTGGTTGCAGATGAAGCCACTGCACTTTAGAGGGCAAGGAGGTAACAGTGGAGAAGGGGAGAGACAATGGGTTTGAGGAAGGGAGAATCACACTGGGTATGGAATAGAGGAAGTAAACGTACAAGAGAAGCAGGAGAGATACACAAGAAGTAACCACTGGGAGAAAGATACCGTGGTTGTCTGAGCAAAAAGAGTAATGGGAGCACAGCCTTACCTGTGCTGCCTTAGCACCTCTGAATGTTCTCCTCTGGCTGGTGTAACACGGATGAAGCATGTCACTGCAAAACAAGAACCGTTCTCTGTTCTCGGTATTAAGAATTCTGTGAACCTCAGTGGGCTGAAGGATATAATTTAGAAGGATTCCTGACAATGTGTTTTCCCAAGGTTTGTAAATTCTCTTGATGTGCCTTTATTGTCGTGTCATGCTCTACCGCACATCTCAGCAAAAGAGTGGCGAGATCACTTTTCCTTTGGAAACAAGATACCAGTGACAGCTGTCAGTAGCATAGAGTAAGGACCCAGAGACATTAACCTTTCACCAGATCTCTTGTGGGCTCCCTATAAAGAAAAAAAAAGGAGTCTGGGGAATATGAAACCCTGCAGTGCTTTGTCTGAAGAGACAGAAAACCAAGTGAGCACTGATTAATGAATTTCTCCTCAGTGCTGAGACAGACTGTAGACTCCAGCTTCCACAGGTTTGGGGAAGATGGGGCATTCTGTCTAAAGCTGGGCTGTAACATGGAAGCACAAGGCACCTTCTATCAGGCAGCAAAAGTTTGCTCTCCTTTCCCCCTTGACAGGTGAACATGATGACACTTGCAGAGCACATTATTGAAGCTACGCCTGACAGGATCAAGCGGGAGAATTTTGTGCCAATGGAATCACTGCTGGTGGAGAGAACAGACAGTGCTGCCATGAGCACCACCATGAGCTGGCTGGCCAGTTACCTTGCTGATGTCGATCACTTGCCAAGTGCTGCACAGATCAGGTCAGTGGGAGCTGTGAGGTTGCTCTGGGTTTTGGCATGCTGTGAATGCTGAGCAGTGTGTACTGACTCTTCAGCCTGCAGATGCCAGTTCTCACCGAGACTCGATGCTGGTCTTCCAAGTCCAGTCACACTCTTGTGCTCAGACAACACAGCTACAAATTCATGGAATGAGGGGTTCACTCCAGTGCCACGTCTGTGCAGTGCAGTGTAATACAGGCAGGCTCAGGGGTATGGGGTGTTGCTTGGAGAGAGGGAGGGGAGCGTGAACTTCTGTCTTGAACTCAGAAATGTTGTTGTCCTTATCTGTGATAGCAGCCCGGATGCTTTATAAGCCAGTAATTCCCACTGTGATTGGTATTTCAGAAGTCTGTATAGTGAACCCCTGACCCCTTCTTCGAACACCAGCTTGAGCCCTGCAGGCTCACCAATCAGTGAAATAGCTTTTGAGAAACCCAGCCTTCCCTCGGCAGCAGACTGGTCCGAATTTCTGAGTGCGTCCACCAGCGAGAAGGTAGAAAATGAGTTTGCACAGTTAACTCTGTCTGATCATGAGCAGAGAGAACTCTATGAAGCTGCCAAACTCGTCCAGACAGTGTTCAGGAAATACAAGGTATGTGGCCCAAACGTCCAGTGTCTTCCTTGTTAGGTGTGAGAAAGTAATATTTGTTACAAAGCAAAATGTGGGTAATACCCATTCCTGGGACAAAAATACCATTTCTGTCATAACCTTTTCGATGCTTCTGGCATTTGCTTGTTTGCTCAGCAAATACCGTCCTGGGGAGAGCATGCCATGCCATGGCACACCCACTGTGCTGGAGCAGGGCTCACAAAGCATATCCTCAAAATGTACCCCAGAGGTTCTGGGTAATCACCTTCTTGGTGTAAAGACGCATTTTGAGGGTTTGTTCCTTACGTGAGTTGACAGTAGAGACATTTGCAGGAAATGCCTAGGCCTGAGTCAGACCAGGTAGCACTCATAGGAGAGGTTTGCCCTGCAAGCAGCTGAGAGCCACGTCGTCTGTCCTGGGTTTTGATGCGCTCTGAGTACTTACTGCTCCTTTCCTTCTCCACACAGGGTCGTCCTCTCCGGGAACAGCAAGAGGTGGCTGCTGCTGTTATTCAGCGTTGCTACCGAAAGTACAAACAGGTAATCAAGGAAGTGAAATTTTATGAAGCACATGTAAGTGCCATGAACGCAGCCCTTTGTAATGGAAATTATCCCACTGTTCCTCTGGTATGCTTTTCAGCATGCAATAGTGAAATCCCCTGCTCAGGCAAACTTGAAAAGGGAAGAAAATTCATGTTCTGCATCTTAATTTTGGAGGGAATCCTTGAAATTATTTTGTTTGTGATAATACCTGCATTTTTGCTATGAGATGGAGGGCAGTGATGTATTATTCCCTACTGGGCTTTATGCATGCTACAGCCTGAGGAGACTATTCTCTGACTAGTTGCTTGCCAAATTTCATTGTGAAATTGAAGTTGGTTTTGCCTTTGATAAAGGCAAAGATGAAAAATAGGTTGTTTTATTTTGCACATACTAAACTTTTAAACTATGGGAAATCATGTGTCATAGCTAAATGCAAGTTTTTCCAGGATTGAGACTGTTCTCCACACACTAGTTGGAGATATGTTTTCGGGCTGAGTTCTCAACCCCAGAAAAAGAAGATGCTTTTCCTTTTTGGTTTTTGGTTGGGTTTTTTGTTGATTCGGGTTTTTTTAGTTGTTGTTTGTGGGGACAAGAGCCCACATCCCGCTTTGCCCTTTACCCTGCCGGACACCATCTGTTTGATGCTTGGCAGCATGTTACGTAAAGTGAGAGGCAAGATGCCTGTGCTCTTTTACAACCTCATAAAAGCATTTATTTGGGAAGTCTTTTTAGTGTTAGGTGACTGCATCATAATTCACATCCAACCCATCACATGGCTTTATTCTGGAGTGATGTTTCCTGTAATAGGGAAGCTTAATTCCTTTCAAAAACTGCTTGACAAACTGCTTTGTCTTGGATCCTGGAATCGCTTCTTTTTGAAAGAAGATTGTTTGGGGTTTTTTGTTTTGTTTTTTTCATACTTTATTTGCAGAACTAACATTAACTATGTATTTTTCTGTTTCTCCCCAAGCTTACTTGGATAGCCTTGAAGGTAATAAATACAAATACAAACAGTATTTTGGAAACAATTCCCTGTGGGTCACTAACTTTCACATTCAGTATAAACCAGGAGAACCTGGCATTTGGAGAAATGTTTTAATAGTATCCACTAATAAATGCCTGTGGTTGAGAAATCACTGACAAACCAGACCTTGTAGGAGATGTGTAGGGTCTTCTGTGCCACAGCGTATCGACTCCCATGAGCAGTGATGGGCTGAGGTCAGGGAGGGGTTTGCAGCCAGTTTCCTGAGGACAGGCTTTCCTTTGCTGCTTCTGATCAGCCATCACTTGGCGACCTTTGCCTTGGCATTCGGGGAGCAGAGAACATTTAACCTACCCATGCAGCCTGTCCTCTGTGTTCTGCTTGCCTGCCGAAGTATGTTGACCATTCATCTTTGAAATACCTGTGTCCTGAATTCCTAAGACCAACATCTCAGTATGTAGCTACTCATGCTGGAGGCACAGCTGTTGATGCCAGTCTTAAATTGTTCCCAGTCAATAATTTTCTGCTGTAAAGATGAGTTTCCCAGCTGTGCAACATCTTGCTCTCATCAGATTCTAGAATCAACTGAGCTTTTCTCAGGGCTACCTGGAGGCAAGGCATACTTCTCCTGGAGAGCATGTGTCCTTGGAGTAATATTCCATCCACAGCTTCCTCCAGTTTTGTATCAGGCTGTTCTGTCAGCACAAGTGAGTTGAACTCTCTGGGACACTGGGCTTGCTGAGGCTTTCCCCTTCACAGATCTCCACTGATCCTCTTCCCACCATAGGGAACAAGAGGAGGAGAGGGGGCAGCTAATCAGCTAAGCAGATCTTAAAGCCGAATGCAAACATATTGGGGTCTGGTCTATCCAGTGACTGCTGATTTCTCTTTCACATGCCTTATTCCTCTGCTTTGTTACTGAACAGCAGAGATCAGCACAGGCTTGTGACTAGATTGGAACAGTCACAGTTCACATCACGGGTTTGTTTTTGAACCCTTCTGTTCAGGGGTTTGTAACTCAGCCACAGAAGTCCCATCTAGGCTAAAAATTTGAAGGAAAACCATGACCAGCCCATGAGTGGACTTCTTTAAAACAGCAAATTTAAAACCACAATCTGATCCATTTTGTTAAAGATGTTAAAAAGAAAAGAAGGGGAAAAAAACCCCAATAGAAATTAATAATGACAAAATATAACTGCTCCTTATGACTGCTTCAATTCCAAAAAGTGAAATTTGGTAAATGGCAGCCTGTGATGATATTGAGGGGTTTTATTTTTTGCTTTGGAGTGGTGTTGGGAGGGTTGTTTGTTTGCTTTTTGAGGTTTTTGTCCCAATAGATAGGAAAATATTGAGATGTGTTAAGACATTACCCTGTACAGGACAGTAGCTGCTATTTCTGTCTCATATGTCTGATGAAGTGAGCAGAAGTCAAAGCTGATAAAATATCCAGGAACAACAGACACATATGTTTTGAAAGTATTAAAACTTATCAGATAAGATCAGCAAACACTGAAAGCCTCTGTTACAGTGTTAGGTCAGTGGTATGAGTGCAACTTCTATACATTATTCTACATCTCCATCTTAAAAAGGACTTAAAAATATGCATGAATGCATACGGTTTCTGTTCAGTCATCATCTCCTTGCGTGCTGTGAAAGGAAGAGGATGTAGAATAAAGAAGATTTTCTTTTTAAGAGTTTGCGCCTGCTTTATTTGGACTCACAGGCCTAGAAATATTACAGTGCTAGGTGGAATTTGGGATGTCTGTGACTGCTCATGCAAATTTGTGAGTTCAGTGGATGCTTGTTACGGATTTCTAATGAGATTTAGTTTTACCTGTGACTTAGGCTCAGTATTAGACTTGCCGTAATTAGCTGTTGTGGGTTTGGGGGTTTGTTTGGGTTGTTTGGGTTTTTTTAAGTTAGAATTACTCCATTTGAAATGCTTGGATTTAAATGGATATACGAGCAATCAAAACTTTTGCAGTATTGTGCTGTTGCAGAGAAACAGAAAATGAGCTGTTGAAAAGTGAATTGTCCTAGAAACGTGGAATACACTTATAAACAGCAAATTTGGTTCTTACAAAAGCAATTTGTTTAAAAGATATTTTAAAATGAAGAAACAAAAAAGTATATTTTGGTCTTAGTTAATTTGTTAGCATTTTGGAATAGTCACTCAAACTGCTTTATCCTTGCAGTCACTTAATTGGGCATCTTTTGCTGCTGTTGTTATGAGCTTTTACAACAAGGGCTGCCTAGAACCGAGCATCCCGTGCTCTGCAGTGCCATTCCTGTATGCAAGGGAAAAGCAATTCCCCTGAGTGCAATCAATGCTCTAATACAGACCTGCTGCATTTCAAACACAGCTCAGCTCCACTTGTTCCAAAGTTGTTCGTAAGTGCACTTGGATCTGGTCATTAGCATGGACATGTAAAGCCTCTGCTAGCAAGGTATTAAATGACACCTCAGAGAGCTGGAGCCCCTCTGCTCTAGAGACAAGCTGAGAGAGTTGGGGCTGGTCAGCCTGGAGAAGAAAAGGCTCCAGGGAGACCTCACTGTGGCCTTTAAATACTTAAAGGGACCTTCTAAAAAAGATGGGAACAGACTTTTTAGTAGGGCCTGTTGCAATAGGACAAGTGATAATGGTTTTAAACTGAAAGAGGGTAGATCAGACTAAATACAAGGAAGAAAGTTTTTAGAATGAGGGCAGTGAATTACTGGCACAGGTTGCCCAGAGATGTAGATGCCCCCTCCCTGGAAACGTTCAAGGTCAGGCTGGATGGGGCTCTGAGCAACCTGATCTACTTGAAGATGTCCCTGTTCACGTTGGGGAGTTGGACTAGATGACCTTTTAAAGGTTCCTTCCAACCCAAACTATTCTATGAGTGTATGAATCTCATCAGACTATTTCAGCAGCAGCAAAACAGGTGATTGCTTTCTTGATGCAAATGAAGTTCTGCCCCAGTCTTACAGTTGTTCCAGTTTGCTGTCACCATTTTCTCATACAGTTCCCAGTCAGTGAATACTCATTTGCTTCTCATCATGTCTTAGCGGCTCAAGAGTCTTTCAGTGTAGGAACCTGCATCTTAACTGGAATGCCTCAGCTTCTCTTTGTTTCTATTGTAGTATGCACTTTATAAGAAGATGACGCAAGCTGCCATTCTTATCCAGAGCAAATTCCGAAGTTATTATGAGCAGAAAAAATTCCAGCAGAGCCGACGAGCTGCGATGCTGATCCAGCAGTACTATCGCAGCTACAAAGAATGTGGGAAGAGGAAGCAAAACCGTCGGGCAGCCACCATTGTGCAACAGAAACTCAGGTGAGTGCTGGGATGGTAGATGCTATCGGAATCTTTATATGTTGTTTTTACACTCTTCAGGGCTGTGCTGTTATTTACAGATAAAGGCTAGTGGGAAAAGGACTGTGATTCATAGGATAATTATTCTTGCATTTAGTAGTATTCTCCCCAGTTTTGCCTGCACTTCAGTGTTGGGGTTTTTTGTGTTTAGAAGCAGTCTGCTTACCAAGAAGCAGGATCAAGCTGCTCGCAAGATTATGCGGTTTTTACGACGCTGCCGCCACAGGTACGACACTGTCTTTTGGTATCTGCCCTTCCAATGTGACAATATTCAAGTGTGTCCACAATGATTGCAATGTAAAGTATAATAGAATCAGCTTGCTACAGATCTTCTAAGCAAAGAACAAAGCTGAGCTGCTTCCAAGATACATTGTTAAAAATGAAACTCTAACTTAGGACTGTTGCTGGAAGAGAATTGTGTTCAGCTCCCTTGCTGATATGGTACAGCAGCCCAGGTTGTGTGACTTTAAAAGCTGGACTTGAGGAAGTCTAAAAAAAAGCTTGTTAAATCATAGTAGCAGCTTGTAAGTGCTGCACAAAGCATTCGTAGTACATGGGAAAGTGCAAAATGTGACAATATTTGATGTGTACTGGAAATGCCTTTAGTTTGGTCACAGGATCATCTGGTTGGCTCTCCTCAAGTGTACATAGTTTTTGATGTGGATAGATGGAATGTGCCAGCAGAGCAGCAGACAAGTTAGTTCACATCAGCCACTCCACACATACTGCAGTGAGCCGAGAGTACAGACACAGACATGAAGATGAACCATCTCCTGCCAGTGTGGGAACACGCGCGGGCTTGCCAGCGTGCTCCCTGTGGCAGCCAGCTCTGCCATACCAGTACTCTGCTACGAGCGGGGTGTTTGGTTTGGTTTTTAGCTGAAAGGATCCCCTATGTTATCAGGTTGCAAACCAGAACTTTGCCTAGACAAAGGTGAATTCCGAGGTTTCTGACCCTGCTCCCTCCATTCTCACTACCCATGCATTTCATCCACTCAGGAGCTGGTCAGACCTGATGCATTTTGAAGCATGTTTAGTTCAGCCCGGTGTCATTTGAATAAGGAGAGCTCTCAGAGAGGCATATGATAGACTTGATTTTAGAAACAAACTTGGTCCTTATTGCAGAATTTTAGAGCTGCAGTTTGCAGGAGGTCAGTGTGGCTCATGCTGTTGAAGGACATCTTATGGGAAGAAACGTGGACAAGAAAGAGGGTTTTGTAGTTCTCAAGCCATTTCCAAATGCACTTGAAACAGCCACAGTTATTGATGAGGAAGCACAAGTGGCTTCTTGTTTTTGGCAGGGCATATGGAAGAGACTAAAAGATGTGTTTGTTGTGCAGCATGTCCTGCTGAAGCAGACGGAGGCTCAGAACTTCTGTATCCTCTCAGATCTGCTTGAGATCCAGGCAGTCCCTGGGGAAGCTACGTACCAAATTTCTGTCCATGCAGCCAACTCTCATACAGGCCCAGAGAATATCCCAGGCGTTCCCACCAGCATCCAGGATGTGCCATGGACTTCAGCTGGGCTCAGTTGACTCCAACTGTTGAGTAATGCAGACTCTCCCAGGTTTAAATTGCCCATGATTCCAGCAGTTCTTGACTTCAGCTCATTGCCTTTCTCTTTGTCAGTGTCTCCTGTTGCCTTTGTAGAGTGAGACCCTGCTCATGTGCACCACTGAATTTTGGAGGCAAGACCCCTCCCTTTGCCTGGGGTCAGTCTGTTCTCTCTAGCAGCATGGTCGCTGCTGCTGGGCATCTCTGCAGGATGGGTTTAGCTCTTGAGTAGTTACAGACAGGAATTCAGGAGCAGGGGGGATTCATTGTCCTTAGTCTCTCCCTGGCTTATGTCACAGTGCACAGTGCTTGAGTTTCTGCAGCAGTGCAGTCCTGTCCATGTCCAGAGGCACTTTGTTAGTGGTTGTGGTTACTTGGGAATTCGTCCGCGGTTCATGGCTAGGATGCAACAAAAGGAAAAAGTGACTTATTTCCACTGAAGATGTTAGCTGTGTTTCAAAACACCTTTGCCTTTCCTTCTAAAGTAGAAATGATCACACATTTGTGATCACATACTTTCTCCAAGCAATCACATACTTTCTCCAAGCAACCATGTTATTGTAACTAATACTAGTAATTGCCACAAAGTTTAAACAGGAGCATTCTGGCATTGGCAAATGCTAAAAGTAAAAGCAAGACGTACCAAAATGACAGAACATTCAGAAATGGCAAGCATTCAGAATCTGCTTGAAAAATGCTTAAATTTACCAGATTTATAGAACTGTTTAGAAATGTGACAGGTTTGGGCCTTGTTCCCATCTTCCTTCTGCTTGCCAAAAAAGCTCTAGCAAGCAGTTGCAAAGCAAGATATTTTCCAAAGCACTTCATGCTCTATACACTTGGGCTACCTCTGTGATCCTGGGGTCACACTGCTTTAGTATCTCTCCTTGGGTTCCTTTGGCTACTGGAACCACACAGGGATCTGCTCCCTCTGCTGTTTGCAGTCGGTGACAAACACCACACAAAATTGGGTTCTTAGAGATTTATTACCACCCAGGATTTTGAAGACAAATGGAAGTCTTTTGCTTGTGTAAACAACTGTTAAGGAAAAATATAATACTTTTTTTTCCAAAGTTAGCACACTGCTGCTATAAATAAGAAATTAAGAAAGGCCCAGTCTCCAGAAAGAAACACCTCAACCATCCAAGCTCCTGAACATCCAGGAGTGAGCCATAACAACAAGTATCTAATGTTAGTTAATGCTCTGTAGCATAAAAATGGCACTATAGAGCCATTTGTTAAACAGCAGTGCCTTGTCAGTACAAGTCAGATATTTTTGAAAAATCTGAGGGAGTGAGAGAAAAGAGAGCATGCACAGGAACATCAAAGAAATAGGATCTTGTAGCAGATTTCTGTCCGTTGACAGAGCTGAGGGAAGAGGCTGTAAAAGCCACTTGTGATCTCTTGTAAGAATAGTGAGCTAAGTGAGAAGGCAGTAAATTCTTAAAGTTCAGAAATTCAGCCTTAAAAAGAAAATGGAACGGTTTAACCTAGGTTTTTGTCCATGAGCAGGTTCTGTTGGTAGGCCAAAAAATTACTCTCAAGAGCTTATTCTGTAGCCTTTAGGTGAGATTTACTCAGGCGTTTCCCTGGCAACCATCTGGTTGGTAGGTTTTTTTCCTGTTAAAATTGATCAAAGTCTCCTTTAAACCAATTCTGAGAACTCGTTCTCCACTCACATTCAGAACATCTTAAATGATCACCTTGTTCTATTTTACTTAGTAACTTTTTGGCACAAAGGCTCAAATAACACAAGTGTGATTCCGATCACCTTGAGGATCTGTCTCCTGAACTCGACATTTGTTGCCTGACCAGAAGATATTTCAGGTGTTTGAGAGAGTTGATGAGAGAGGTTCTGCATTATTGGAGCTCTCAGTAGTGGATGCATAGATGTTGATGAAAATCAGAAAAGAAGTGTCGGTTTTGGTTGAATATGTTCTTAGAGAAGACACTGATGGTCTGGTAGCTGATTATTCTCAGGTGTCACAGAGGCAAGAGGGGTCATTCATCAGCAGCAGTCATTCTGACCATCAGACATATATCTTCTCCCTTTAACTTTGAACAAAAAAAACCATATTTATCCATCTATTGTCATATTTTCAAAAATCTGGTGAAAAACATGCATCAGCCATAACATGGTAGCAACGTGACTTGTCACAGAAGTGTTGTTTTGTTGAGAAAGAGAAACAGAAACTTCCTGGCCTCCCAGGAGAGCTTTACCCATCCTCCCATGGTGCCTGAACCTGTCAGCTGGCACTTGACTAACTTCCAGCCTTACACGTCCTGTGAGCTGATCTGCCTCCAGGCACACTGCCCTGTGTGAGGCAGAACCAGGGCTTTGTGTATTTAGTGGTTTTGGGAAGACTCCACCTATTTAGTGATCCCCAGATATGACACATCTAGAGCTGCAAGGAAATCTGGGAGCTCTGAAGTGGGTTTGGATTTGCTGGGCCAAATCCATGTATGGTACATCTTTCACTGGGAAGGTAGCCTCCTATTTCCTGTTCTTTTTCTGATTTGTAGAAAACTTCTGCTCTTCTGAGGGATACCTAGACCATTGCTGTGATTATGATCTGCAGTGGTTTCTATGGAGTAGCATTTGGAATGAGATAGAAAACAGATGATTGCTGCAAGGGTAGGCAGGATGCAGGTAGAAATGCCATGGGGATGACAGTGTTGCGTTTATTCTACTTGCTTATAACTTTCTGCCCTAAAAAACTACACACAGGACTGCTCTTCCCTGGTAAAGAGGAGTCCCATAGGCAGGAGTGGGAAGGGTTCTTTCTCTCCAGGCAAGCAGAAGTGCTGTCTCCTCCTCCCTGAAGTGAAGCTCTGGGTAAGGTACAGTTGTTGCCATGTGTGTCTAATGGCTCTTTGGTATTGTTTTGCACTCTGAAGCCCACTGGTGGACCATAGGCTGTACAAAAGGGTGAGTGTAGCTGCCTGCTAGCCAGTTCCTCTCTTCCATTTTAAATATATTTGCTTTCTGCTTGCTTGCATGGGGCTGCAGCCGAGATATGCCAGTTAAGTTTCACCTCCATTAATTATATAAAAGAATCCTGTACAAACTAACCCTACTGCAATGACTAACACTGCTGCTTTTGTAACAGGACAGAGCTCTGCAGTAGATGTTACCAATGCATGAATTTGTGAAAAAGGACATGTATATTCATCATGGGCATGCTTAGACGGCGTTGTCGGTGGGATATTTTTTCAGTATCCAAAATGGCTGTTAGTAGATGTTGGAACTTGACAGGGTCTGCACTCACACACACTCAGTGAGTACTGATGCCCGTTGTCATGGACTGCGACAGCATTCAGGCTAGAGCGTAGGAAGCTGCAGTTCAGGTGCAGCCTACTCTAGATGAGTGTTTGTTTCTGCCTGAGCCAGGTGGAAGAGCTCCTCACGTTGCTTTTTACTGCCAAAGGTGGTTAAGCACCAATGCTTATCTTCTAGAAGTTGGTCTTCGGTAAGTTACACATCTGGTTGCCTTTTTGACAACTGGGCCAGCTTTTTGACAGCTGCTTCTCTCATGTATTAATCCACTCCTCCAATGGGAAGGAAAACAAACTTGAAATGGAGATGCTGTAACTGTGTTACACTAAGTGCCAAGAGAGCTTCTGTTGGGAGCCTCGTTCTCAGCATGAAAGAGTCCACTCACGTGTGTGCTTCGTCATGTTAGCGGCTGGTTTGCTCCCCTCCCTGACAGGAGGGTGGGAATAGGTGGGAGCATTCCCGTGGCAGGTCACAGCCCCTGTACGAGCAGGGAATGGCCTGGCTCTCAAGGCACATGCCTCAATTGTCAGCAGGCTGCTCTGTTCCATCTCCCTTTAGAGGTTGTTAGGGCAGCAGGGTTTTTGTCAAAAACTGCCATCAGAAATACCATCATTTGTGTGCTTATTATTCCTGTTTTCAGCAAGGGAGGGGAGGCAGAGGGAGGGATGGCCTGGACTCCTGCTTCCATGTAACATTCAGAAAAGAAAAACAAATGGTTCATCATGGAGTTTTGCTGACATTGAATTGCAGAGATCGTTTTCAAGACTCAAGAGTGAGAGTGTGAATTGGGCTTAAGCCTGCTGGAGACATCATTATTTGTTTAACTCTACTGAGCCCAACAAAGAAGCAGCAGCCAATAACATTTGTTTCCAAACTATGACGTTTATGCTACCATTTTTTGTTGCATATCCTCAGTTTTTTACGAATTAAAATTTGGGTTCTTTACTAACAACAAATGAAGTAAGAATTGGAGGAAATGGGGACAAAGGCCCAGACGTGCCCTGAGGCTCTGCAGGGGCTGCGTGGTGTAGGTGCAGCTGACGGGCAGGTTGTCAGCATTGCAGGAGAAACAGTTGTTGCACTTTAAAGCTTTGTGTATGTAACATATGAGAAATTATCAGGAAGCAGATTCTGGAAGTTTGGTAGCATTTGAAGGTTTTGCCTGGAATGGCCAGTGATGTGGGATTGGTGAGGAAATGAGGGAGTTCTCTGCTTATCTGGAAAAAGTAAACTGTGAGCTATCACAAAATGTATTGGCTGCTGTTCTGCTAAAGTAAATCTGTTACAGCAAATTATTCTTTGCATTCTGATAAGAACCTGTGTGCGTGTGCTGCTGGCATGCACACCCACAAGACAAGTATTCCTGGGCCTTCTGACGTGCACAGGCTGACACATCCCCCTGTGCTGAGGGAATGCCTGCAAATGTGTCTGTCTGTAATACACAAATTGGATGTATTCTGTACACATGCTGTTGTGCAGATAAATGATGGTAGCATTTGCTTCTGTGTTTCAGTTTTAAAACCTTTTCAAATTGATTTGATTATTTTTTCTGGATTTATTTGGGTTACAGTACACCAGGATCAGCAAAGAGGGAGAGGCAGGAGATTTTACTGGCCAACTCTTGTGAGACAAAACTTGATATCTTTCTGCAATAGAAATTACCTTCTAGGGGAAAAAAAACCCCATCCGATTGCTGTTGCCTTTAAGTAATAGTTTTCATCTCAAGGACAGATGCTTCAGGGGAGAGATTTCAGCTACTCGCAGTGCCCCACTACACAAATGTTTGCCTGCTCATTGGTCAAACCATCTGCTATAGCCCCCTGCAAAGGAGAGCTTTGCTCCTAGTCCAGATATAGAGGTGAACAAATTGCACGGCTGCTTGAAGTGTGACCCTCTCTGCCACAGCCTTGGCAGAGGGGATCTGGAGCCGATCACATGGAGCAAGGCTTTTCACATCACTAGGCCAGTCTAGCACTTTCTGCCTCTCTGGGGCCAAACAAGTGCACTTGTTACATGTGATCATGAGTAATAAAAACTGTATTCACTCACAGCATCTTTCATGTACAAATAGATCCCCTTACCCCCCACCACATTCTCATGGTTAGATTAAATGCTGCTCTCCAGTTTGGGGGAGTGTGCATGTAACACATGCTGACACCTGGAGTCAGTTCTCTGGTAAGTACAGCTTCATTTCATACCTGAATAAACAACATCTACTATGTTTTGTTGTTCTCTGCATACTCTTCCCTTTTTTAGCATTTTAGCAACAAACATTTTGCTACCCCTGTGCATCTAGGACTTGTATTTTTTGTGTGGTTTTGATCCATGCTGTGCGGGAGACATTGCATTGGAGTGCCTGGGTTCTTACATCTCTTAGTAAGACTGAGAATGGGAGAAAATTCTGAGGGATTGGGAAGTCCCTTTTGTTTGAGTTCAGGACAATATGCGAAAATGTCGTATTGGGATGTGCGTCACTGTACCGGCAACAAAAGTTTTCAAAATAATTTCTTTTTTCATTTACCTCTTGCAGGGGCTGAATGTATTTGGAGCTCAAAAATGTGTGTGTTAAATTGCAGACCATGTGCTCTGGGGTGTCGTTCTTACTGGGCCTTTCTGTCTTTTTTGTTTTGCTGCCTAAATGAGGTATCTGGGAAAAGGCAAGAGCTCCCTTTTCTTAAATGTCCCACAGGCCATTTCAGCTCTCAGAGCAACAGGTAACTCACCAGCCAACCTTCTCTGGCTCTTGCACCCCTATATACTGATCTTCAGCATTCAGACTCATTCAGCATTTCCTTGGCTGGGCCTTATGGAGTAAGTCTGATGAAGCAGCTTTGTGTTACGCTTTACCCATGAAGCCATCGTTTGCTGTGACTTTTTCTAAGTAGGCCTGGTTCATTTGCTGACACCCCGTACAGGACTGGGGAGGGGGAGAGAAGCTGCCACTTGCTGGGTCTGTTGCTTTCTACATTGCTTCAGCACGTACCGATGCAGCCTCCTTCATGGTGTCCAAGTAAGTACCACAGTGCCAAGGGCAGAAGCTTTGTCTGGCTGGAGCGATCTGGGAACCAGGACACAGCTCCCAACAGTCAGGGTTCAAAGCTCATGTTTGAAGTCATCTTCTCTTCCCTTTCTGTGTGTCAGCACCACAGCTGTTATTTCAGACACCTTATCAGTGGTCATCTCTATTGCACGTGCTTTTTCCTTCCATCTGCTCTTCAGCACTTGCTGAGGGAATGACTTTGTACCTTAGAGGCTCTTATGGTCTAGAGAAAATGTTATTTGAGGAGTTTTGTGTTCAAGGCTTGATCAGTGCAAAACCAAAGTTATGGTCCTTGCAGTTTTGTGCATCATTTCAGAGCTGCTGGTGTAGGATGGTGCTTCTTGTTTGGAGACCTGCAGCAGCTAGAGCCTGTTTCCCGTTCTGGTGTGCTCTGCTTGCAGCTGTGCCTCACTTGAGCTGCCCTCACCTCCAGTCCCAGACAGCTTGAGGCACTCCCAGAAGTGATCTGAGCTAGCGTGCTGGTGCTTGTAGACTCCTGGAGAGGTTTGCACACCATCTAACAGCACCTGACTTGCTGCTATCACTTTCTCTCGGTGTTCTCATTTTCTTTATTGTTTAAAAAAAAAAAAGTCTCACTGCAAGTCTACCAAACTGGATTGAAACATCTTGTCTAAGAACATCCATTCTACTGTTCCATTCTGTAAATCCCAGTAGTATCCTGTTTCTTAGAGCAGTTTATTATTGCTTGTAACTGCAAATGCTACACTTTAGTCCTCTTCCTCAGCCTCAATTTAAGAGTGGAAAAATGTGAACCAAAGAAGATTGCCTTCTAGCTTGAAAGCAATGCTATGTTGTTCACATAAAATCTCTCCTGGCAGCACTTACTCAGAGGGTTTCTAATCTCAGGGGTTCTATTTGTCCAAAATTCTTCCCTGGTCAAACTGTATTTTTTAACTGCAGTTGAAAATTTAGAGAATTTATTACACTGAGCCTTAATGAAGAAGAAATACCAGCCCCCCTACTAATACTTTATATTGTTGTAACCAAATCAAAGTACCAATGAGTAAGGAACTCAGAGAAGAAGAGTTCAGTGAGGACTGAAAGGACTTCTAAGACACAGGAAAGGCTGCAGTACAGACTATCCAAGAAAGAATTAATTGGTTGAAGACAATTTGTTTTAGGTTCTCTTGACAAAGCCTTTCAGAGGAAGTGAATGGATTATCTTGGTCCTTGATGCATGGTTCTGACACCTCCTGTTTAGCATGGTTTGAGGAAGCAGCAAGGTGTTCACAACAGCACCTCAGTGCTTCTCCAGTGTCACTCTGACCATAGATTGGCTCCATTTTTGGTAGCATTTGGAAGTACTTCAGTTCACTCTGGCTGTGCCTGCTGCAGAGTCTGCAGTGAGCAGGGCTGCCTTGTGCCAGCTGTCAGGAGAAGGGAGAACTTCCCTAGCCAGTGCCAGCTCCAGAGTGAGGAGTAGAGACTGGCAGCTGCAGAGTGCAGGTCTTTGTACCTACCGGGCAGTGTCGTAATCGGTAGAGGACTCACAGTACCTACCTGCACTCCCATGTGCAGTGTGACACATGCACCATATACAGAACACAGAGATTAGTTAATAAAAAAAATGTGCTGTCTTGGGATGGTCATCATCTTGAAGCTTAAGTGTATAAATGCTGTGGAATGCAGGGTTTGTTTTAAGCCATTGCATACTAAAGAGCAATGGCTTTCAGTAATGTACCGATGGCAAATTTGAGAGTCTGAACCATTACTGTAGGGAAATTTGGTACTAGTATGTGCTTGTGTTTTTAAGCAGTAATTATCATTGTACCTACAACCATGTAAATTCACTTGACCAAGGAAAGTGTTACAAATGCAAAGCGTTGGACATTGTCCTGCATGACATCCTTGTCTCTCAATTGAAGAGACATGGATTTGATGGATGGACCACTTGGTGAATAAAGAACTGGCTGGATGGCTGCACTCAGAGTTGTGGTCAATGGCTCATTGTCCATGTGGAGACAGTGGGGTCCCTCAGGGGTCAGTGCTGGGGCTGATCCTGTTCAACAGCTTTGTCAGTGACATTGACAGTGGGATTGAGAGCATCCTCAGCAAGTTCACTGACAACACCGAGCTGTGTGTGTGCTGCAGTCACAGGCTGGAAGGAAGGGGTGGGCCATCCAGAGGCACCTTGACAGGCTTGAGGGGTGGGCCTCTGAAAACCTCATGAGGTTCAACAAAGCAAAGTGCAAGGTGTACACCCATCCCTGGAAGTGTTCAAGGTCAGGTTGGATAAGGCCTTCAGCAACCTGGTCTAGTGGAAGGTGTGCCTGCCCAGGGCAGGGGGGTTTGGACTAGATGATCTTTAAGGTCCTGTGCTAAGGCTGACTGCTGCAGTAATTACCTTCTGTTGGCATGTATGTTCCAGGCAAACAGATGCAATAGGTCTGCACCAGTACAGATACTGCATGCTGTAGGTTGAAGTTTGCAGCAAAGCATGTCATGCATTCTTCCAGCAAAAGTGCTTTGTTAGTGTAGCCTTTGCATGTAAAGTGCCAAAGTAAGGAATAGCATGTCTTAGTGAAAGAGCCACCAGCTTATTTAATGTGCATGTTCTCAGTGAGAGATCTATAATACCAGGTTAATTTTACATTACAGTACTGAAGTGCAACAGAAAACACTTGGAAGTTGCACTGCAAATCATGCATTAATTGATGATATCTTGAACATAGTTAATCTAAGCCTTAAAAATTGTCCAGTGCAAAGAAGTACACCACGTTTTCTAGCATAGTACCACAGATCTTGGCACGCCTCCTGCTGCTAAGCAGCAGAGCAATAGAAGTACTAGCAATAAATTCAAGGGAGAGGCTGCTTTTCTGCTGTAAGAAAAGAAAACCAAATATACTGAAGATGGGTAGTTTGTAATTTGTGAGTATTTTCAGTTCATTGTACCGGCCCTCCTCTGTTTCCTGTACTGAAAAGGTGATCTGGCCATACACAGCAGGTAGAACCCCAGTGAACTCAGGTAGAAGTCAGGTTGTCAGCCTGAGTAGAGGCTTGCTGCTGCCTTCTGTGCAGTGCTGAAGCCTCCACTCCCTTGATATCAACAGGGTCTTTTAGACACCAGTTTGTGTAGACCCAAAATCTTCTTGTAGAAGATATCTCTGTGAAGTTGTAGCAGGCATTTGGGCTCAGCATAGCAGTGTCCAAGTAGGAATTGAGAACCCCCGATGCTGGTGGCTGCCTTGCCCCTTCCTCAGCTTGGGGATGAGAGCACTGCTTGTCACCTGGGGGAGCAGTACAGAGGCTCAGATTTCAGGGGTGCTGGGGCCCCTTCAGCAGTGGCCTTCAGACTCTCAAAACAGTGTGTGCATTTGGACTAGCACAGCCTCTGTCTTTCCATGCATTATATTCTCCAACAGGCCACTGGAATTGAGGTATTTAGTGAAGGTCTTACCTGCATATGGGTTAGTGTGGTTTGACCCCTGTTGGCCACTTTTAACAAATACTGAGAATGCCTTTGAGTGCTAGAGCTTTGAGTCAGCTAAAGCAGAGGTAAAAGCAGCCAGCTCCCTTTTGAGTAATAGTACATGCAGAAAAATGAATAAATAAAATGGTGAAATGGAGGTGTATTTATAAAGATCAATTTATAGCCTTCATTGTATCCTTGTATTAGCAAGCTGGTGCGAGCCAAAAGTGGATGTGGGGGTATAAGTCTACATACCGTAGCTCCAAACTCTCACCGCTGCTGATTAGCTCTCCCAACGTGCATTTATTTATTGTTAAATTCACTCACTTGTAGCTGGTTTCCGTTACACAGACTTGCATCTCTGACACAATTTTTTGTACCATACCTTTGCTATTTATCCTTTCAAGATTTTGCAACAGCACTTGAGCACTTGAGCATGTACATGCTTAGCTAAATCACCTTTTTTTTTGTGCTCTGTTCTGCTCCTATTGCAGGGGTCTGTCCTCCCCTTGCAGGAGCAGAGGGAAGACAGGTGGAGGCAAGTGGCAAAGGGATCGTACTGCAGAGGAGCTCCCTGCAAGCAGAGGCAGAGCCAGCCCCAAGCACAGCCAGCTGCCTTGTGGTTTAGGGACAGCATGGGGAGTCCCCCTGGATTTGGTCTGGCTCCTTTGCAGGGAGCCTGCACTGACACACAGCCAGGTTAAGTCTGAGGAGAGGATTGCTGCTGCAATACAGAGTTCTGCACCAATACAGAGTTCTGTTTCACGTAACGGGGTTAAAAGGATTCCCTCCTCTTCATTCTTTTGATTTAACTTTTAACTCTTCCATCTTTCAGCGATGGCTTAGTTCTTATGCTGACAAGTGTTAGAGGAAGTAATGTGTCGCATGCATTTTAGAGAGTTCTGAATGGGGCACCAGGCCTCATCTAGGGACGGTGACTCTTCCATGCTGTAGGTTCATCACCCTCAGCACACAGCATCCAGCATCCTCCACTGCTGGCTGGGAAAACACACAATCTACTCCCAACAACATGCTAGAAAATACAGCCCCCAGCAGCTGGAATACGTGTGAAACACCTTTTCTCTCACCCATACCAATTCTTCTGCTTGCATATACACACTTTCTCATGTGAGATTCTGTATCAACACCAAGCTTCCTTTCCTAGTAGGATGGACTGATTTTTCCCCACTGTTCTGGCCACGACATCAGGCTGTCACTGCCTCAACACTGTGTGAAGAAAAGAGGTCAGCACTGAACAGCCCCTTTGCCACGACAAATAAGAGCAGCTGCAGGGTCAGTTAGTGAACAGCAGTCCGGAAAACCCCAAGCAATTAGATAGGCCAACACCAGAACAAAGCCCAGCTGTAGTTGCAAATACTGGGGAAAAACAGTAGCTGGAACTAGGGGTATGTCTCCAAATGTGTTTGTCTCAGATCTCTCGTGGCCCGTTCTTGCACTTCCAACTGTTATGGTGTCAGGAAGGTGTTACCCTCCTGTCATTTCTCTGAGAGCTGGCTCTTCTGCACGGGAAGCTGGACTGAGGAGTCCTTTTGATTGTTCTGTGTCTTCAAGAGATTTGCAATAGAAGTATTACATAGCTCCTCTTTGTTTTTTCAGAGTGAAAGAATTGAAAAAGGCCAAGGAACTTGAAGATACGCAGCAGCATCCCGTAGCAATGTGACATTGCTTTTCAGACTGTTTTCATTTTCTGTTTTTAGCAGAGACATGCAACAACAACAAAAATACCCACTGCAGTTCTGGAAATACCAGCTGCAGGATTTTAACAGTAATGTTTTGGTCATTGCATTTGCACTTTCATGGACAACTTTTAATTTGTTCAGCAAGACATCTTGGAACTCAATCTTCTGTTGGATCGTTGGGAAAACAAAAGACACCAGGAAGAAATTGTGAGTTGCTTCATTCTCCGAGAAGGAACGAAGAAGCGATTAATTATCCTTTTCATATAGGGCTGTATTAAACAACATGTGGAACTGTACAAATATTATACCAAAAATATTGTTCAGAAAAGGTGGGAATGCACAAGCAACACAAGAATGCTGTTCCTGCACCTGTCAGTCATCTCCAAGAAACTGAAGCTTTGAGAGTCTCAGTGGAGGGGCTTAGATCAGTACATCTTTATTGGGTCCATGCATCCTCATTTCCTTCGCACTCCTGTCTTTTGTGTTTTATTTAAACCTCTACAGCACACTTAATGCAACTTTTTAAATCTGCAGGTTTTTAATACATCCTGTGGGAACTTACAGAAGGGGTTGGTGTGTGAGAGACACGGGTAATGCATGAGAATGGAGAGAGCAGCTTAAGCAAGTTTTAAACACTTTTTTTGGTATTTTTACTAGAACCTGCAAACATATCAACTGTCATGTACTTTCTCTCATATTCAGCACTTTATTTTCTAGCCTTACCTTCATGTACTATTGTTTTAATTAATTAAGTTCTTAAATAATTTGTAAAACATGTAGCTTTTTCCTCTTATGTCAAACCTCTTGTCATTTTGCAGAGTCACGTACATATGTTGCCTGGACATTTTAAGCCACCTAAAGATCAGTGGTGCTGCATTCTGGCCAGTAAATTTCTTATTTTGGCTACTTCATCAAAATCTGGGCAGTTTTCTGTATATATAGAAGGTAGAAATGGAAAATGAGAAAAAAATATTTGAAAGGGAATATATTGATTAATTACTAAATATTTTATTCACAAAGGGTCAATAACTTGGCAAGATAAAATTATTATTTGTATAGTTTTGTCTGAATGAACCAGAAGAGTGTGGATGTATTGTTTGTACATATTGTATATATTAAAACAAAGAGATATGTGCATGAACTCAAGAAAAAGAAATGAACAAAGCAAAGCATTAGTGGCTATGGTCTGTAAAATGAAACAAAAACTTTATTTCACTATAAGAAACTTTATTTTAAATGTTCTTTAGAAGAACATTTTTGCTAAAGCATGACTAAATGGCAAAAAAGAGCTACTGTATTTAGACTTAGGAAAAAAAGGCAGAGCAACATTACTTTAAAAAAAAAAAAAAAAGAAAAAAAGGATATGTTTACATTTGATTTTGGCTACCAGGAGTTTGGTTCAGTTGGGTTTAATTTATATTCCTTGCTTTTTTTTTCCCCCCGTCTTTTTTTTTCCTTTCTTTCTTTTTTTTTTTTTTGCCAATGGTGCCAAGTAATGTGAATGCTAATATTGCTTAAGAAAATTAAGTTACTTTTGCAAAGCAGATAATCATAAGAGTACAAAAACCGTATCTAGCTTAACACCATACACTCACTCCAATAAAGAACACTTAGAATGAACATAAAATGAAAAAAATAAATAAATAAATAGTACAAAAGTAGAAAATATGTTTCACATTTTCATATCTCCTGCTGGAAGTCAGAAAATGTAATAAAAATTGCACAAAAAATTTAAAAAAATTAAGTAAAACTTAAAAAAAAGATGCAAACTGATCTTGTAGGGGTGTCATGGTATATTGCTATTTCCACATAGTGAGGAGCCAAAGAAATTAGATTTTTTTTAAATTGAACTACTAATTTAAAATTGTCACAGATTCTGAACAATGGGAACCAGGTTCTGATCTTCATTACATAGGAATGTAAGGGAAGAAACTCCTGAAGTCCATGTTGTTACTGTGGGTCATGTACATGTATCTGAGATCAGAAACTGCTCCTGTCTGTTTGTCTCACTTGTGGCAGTTTAAAATTTCTGAATGGACTTGTGTAAATCTGAGATTGTTAGTTTCGGAGTAGTTGTTCTTGCTTGATCCCGGCCACCAACTGCAATGTTTAAACGCAGGGCTTGTTGTGAAGCCAAAAAATATTCACATATAAGAAGCTTTGAAACTGGTGTCTTTACAAGAAGAGTAAAAACAAAGATTGTGGCAAAAAAACTGGGGTCAGTGCTCTTGGTGCCTTTTCTATAATTGTACCTGTTTTTAATTACTTCCTTTCACTGCCAGCATTGAATTATAGTAGATGTGCTATAGCTCATTATCAGAATTCTCTTGTACATTTCTGAACTGCTGCTTTATGACCTGATTCAATTCTAAAAAAGGGAAAAAGGCAAAACGAATGGCCTGGCACTCACGCTGTGCCTGTGGGCAGCCTTGTAGCCTCCATTTACTGTCTGCAATTGGAACCTTAACCATTAAATTTTCCTCTCACGCCAAAACAGAACAGGAGACACTGAAGAATCTCCTTTGGAATGAATTGGAAATGCTCTGTATTAGTACTGGAAGAACTCTGACATTTTGAAAGTGAAATATTGTACCCATTAACCAATACGTGACAATATAGAATTGATCTGTTCTTAACAAGAGTAGTGACCTCAGTGGAAATGTTTTAACTCCTTGTCTTTACAGAAAATGATTCAGTAATATACAGAGCTATTTCAAATTACTCTTCCAGATCCATGGGCCTGGTGGTGTATCTACTAATCTAGATCCTGCTTCAGCCAAACGTTTAAGCCTGTACTGGTGTTAACCATGCCGGCAGTTCCGCGGGCGCAGCAGAACTCCCCGCATGCTTGAAGCCACGTACAGCTCCCAAGTGCTTTGTTGTGTCGGGCCGTAACCCTTCAGTGTGTCACTGGGGAGGGAGAAGGACTCCCCTGCAGTGAAGTGATTCTGCGAACCCTCTTCTTGGTTGTGGAACTTATATTTTCACCGAAGATAAGTAAGTGCAGCTTTCTAGGAAAATTCAAACTCCCAAGTGCCAGGAGCCAGATCTTCTGTCTTCTGATAATGGAACCGCTCCTTTGTGAAACACATTCGACAGCAGTAATACTGTGTGAAAGAAATACAGAATATAACATGAACCCCCTCTCTGGTTGCACGCTTATGGCAGTTCCACACAATAGCTGGTGCCCAATGGGGGGTCCCCAAGACTTGCATGTAAAACTAGTATAGATGTCTTCTCTTTTGTAAGTTTTATTTTTGTAACCGTGCATGTAAAGCATCACTGAATCAATGGATCTGTTGAAGAACTCAGCTGCTGGAACCATGCAAAATGTTTTGAATTGCCCTTAAAATATGGAAAATGTTTTCTGAATGCTTTATATTCTTTCTGCTGTAAATTAAAAACAAAGAAAATTTCCCCATACAAAGTGTGTGCCTTCTTTTAAACACATCTCCTCCATCCTAGTTTGAGAGCGATGTAGCCCTTTAGTCACTGTAAGGAACCATGAAAAAAATGTATGTCTTCTCTACATGATCTGCTTGTTAAGTATACTGCATCTGATTTCTCACAGGTGTAACAGCCTGCCCATGAGCAGGTGCAACCCCCAGAGCTTGTCTGAGATCAGATTGTTTTCAGTTCCTGTCAGTGGACAATCACTTCCAGGGTTTTTCATGAGAAACCCTATGTACCTGGTAGCAAAATGCTAAATCCTACAGTGTGCACAAAGCAGAGTCAAATCCTAGGAGAATTCAAGAGGGTTGCTGATGCAGATATGTAAGAGGTCACAATAATACAAATGAGACACAGTAACTTTGCACTGATCAGATATAGAAGTTACACAATTTGGCCCTTTTGTAAGGGCCAAATTGAAACTTTTTACCAGTCTACTACAAGGCCAGCCTAGCAGGGAAAACCAAGTTTAATAGTCATCTGGTATGCGAAAGACTCTGTTAGTAGTGCTGTAAGTAAGTTCTTCCAAAACCCAGAACCACAACAGAAGACGAGATTTCATTTAGAGAGTTTATTTTTGACTACAGACAGACAAAGTTTAATTATGTTCTCCTGATAAATAAATCAGCATTTAACTCCCCAAATTGATCTCAGCTACTTCCCCATTTTTCCTATTCACATACCTATTAATTGCCGAGTTCTTTAGTATTGTGGTGGGTTGACCCTGTACTGAACGTAGACACCAGCTGTCTGCTCACTGCCCCACCTTCCCCCTTCTCCCCAGTGGAATGGCAGAAGAGAACTGGAAGACCAAACATGAGGGGAAAAAAATGGCTGGAGTGAGAAAAAGCCGGTTTAATAAGTGAAGGGGGAAAGCGAAAACGAGCCCAGGTGGTGCAGAGCAGGCCCTGCCTCCCGGCGGGGCTGCGGCCACAGAGCGGGCCCGGCGTGGGGGGAGAGCGCCCCCCCGCGGCCGCGCGCCCGACGGCTGCCTGGGGGCGTGGCCCCGGCCGGGCCCCGCCCCTGCCCCGGGTCCCGCCCGCAGGCCCCGCCCCTCTGACGTCACCTCGGGGCGCCGTCGGCGCCGAGCACAGTTCCCGCTGGACCCGCCCGGGCGCTGCGGCCGCGGCCCTTCCCGCCGGCAGGATGTGAGTGCGGGGCCGTGCGGGGGGACGCGCGGGGGGACGCGCGGGGGGCCGTGCGGGGGGCCGTGCGGGGGGACGCGCGGGGGAGCCGGGCAGCGGCGCCGGGCCCGGCCGCGCCCAGGCGGGCGGGGGTTCCCAGAGCGGCTGCGCAGAGGCCCCGCCCGGCCCCCGCTCGGGCCGGTACCGGGGCGCTGGGCTGGCCGAGCCGGGCTGTTCCACCAGTCCCCGGGCGCCTGTCAGAGCGGGGCCGCCCCGTCGGGGCAGCGCCTGCTGGGCACCGGAGCGTTATTGTGTTTGGAGGTGTCATTTCCGAGACTCTTCCCCTGGAACTAGCAGTGAAATAGAACCAAAGGTTGGCGGAAGTGCCAAAACAGTCGAGCGGTGATGCTGGCCTGTACGGGGCCTGCTCCGAGCCTCTCCCCGGGCTTCCCGGCTCTCGCCTTATGCGTGTACACGTTTGTTCTCTCTCCGTGGAACTTAAAGTGAATGTATAAATGTGTAAATTCAGGAAATAGTCAGAATTGGCTGTTTGGAGTACCAGGATGCGCTAAACAAGGGTCTGATGTGGAAGAAATAACAACGTAGAAAAGGAAATTGACTACAGATAGTTCTAGAGATATGCAAAAAACCTGGCAAAGCAGTGAAAAGGGTATGAGGAGTATGTACAGGAACTCTTGCATCCATTACAAAGATGCAGAGTGTTGAAGCTGATAAACAAAAACCCTCTGTTATGAAATCAAAGCTGACCAGAAGTAAATTCTTGTATATGCCAGATTCTTTTTCCTTATGGTGCTTTTGCTTGCTCTGTATCAACTGTTTCAAAATAATAGAGACAACCAACAACAGAGAAGCACGTAGTCAGAATAACCATTAAGTTTTTGTATATAATTTTTTTGTAAATACTGTAGCTTGAAACTTAGTATTTGTTCAAGAACGCCCCTGAGCCTAAACTCTTGACTCCTTGAGCCCTGAACCATGGTTGGAGCTGTCCTGTACCTTATTGCAAAATGTGGTATTAGCAAGCCATTGCTGTCTCTTAGAATGGCAGGCAGTTTGTTGACAAGATATTTGGAACACAGTGTGTCTTGCACCTAATGTCAGCTGTTAAAACACCATTTCTTCAGTAGGAAACTACCCTACATTTATTCCAAGGATACATCTCAGGAATGTCAGATGAATAATGATGACTTTCTTTACTGCAGGTCAGCCAGTATCCCTGGAAGCTCAAATGTGGCTGCTGGCAGTAATCGTCGACTTCAGCAGACTCAACACCAAGTAGATGAGGTAAAAGTCAAGTCCAATAGCAGTGTCATTGTTTTCCTTCAGGAAACCTATAAAACTAGAAGAGATATTTTTACCAAAGCAGTTTTCCCTTCATTATATGAAGGGGAAGTAGAGAGAAGTTACCAGTGTCCAAATATTAGCTGCAATCTTGCTGCTTGAGGATTTGGCAAAATTAAAGATAAAAACCTTTGTTCTTACAGAGAAAAAGCTTTTTTCTCATCAGTAGCCATGAAGGCTGACTGCCAAATATGATGTGTCTAGATTTTTGTGGAGTCCAAAAGCCAGGCTGGCTAGCAAGAGTATTTTTTGACATATGGTTTACTATCATGTTTATATGCCTCAACTCCTTCTGAAGCGGCTCAGGAATTATTTCCCAGGTTTGAAGGAATGCCATCACTACTGGCACTACTGACTTTTTAAAGTAGGTATTAGGGGCTTCCAGCCCAACTGTGAATTCCAGGGTTTTGTTTAAGCTTATGACTGCATATATTAGAAGGTAATAGCCTCTGCTTCTGAAAAGAGAACACCGAGTACCATGTGTTGCTGTCTGTTGCCTGCGATTATGTTCTACCATGGGTTATACAACTTACTGTAAGCATTAAACTGGTGCAGGTTGTTGACATCATGAGAGTGAATGTGGACAAGGTATTGGAGCGAGATCAGAAGCTATCAGAGCTGGACGACCGTGCTGATGCACTGCAAGCAGGAGCTTCCCAATTTGAGACCAGTGCAGCCAAGCTGAAAAGGAAGTATTGGTGGAAGAACTGTAAGGTAACCTTCCCTTGTGTACTTATGCTGTGCAGTACTACAGGTAACACTATTACAATTGGCATCCCAAAAGGTAGAAGAAGAGATTACTTTAGCCAATGTTGTTTAACTTACAGCATCTAGCTTTTTAAAGCTTGACATAGTGGCTGGGTGAAGGAATGAAAAGCTGGACTAGAGGCCATGCTGCCCTATGCAAGATCTTGTGTAACATGGTAATGGCCAGTGGGGAAACACGTCAGTAATCTGAGGTGTTGAGGAACAGGAAGAAAAGCGTAAAAATGCATAGCTTGAGTTAAAGTACAGGAAGTGTTAGAAAGTGGAAGAAGCTCACTCAGACTCCTGTACTTGTAGCTGTTGGCAAAGGTTGGAATCATCTTTGGTGAGTAACAAAGACTTGTGTATTCACCTGAGACAATCTCTGTGTGAAGGAGACTGTACTGCTGTGTTTTGTCTGTGTGCATGACCTGCCATCTCTAAGTGTGGATCAAGCTTGCTTACCGAGAAGCTTTGCTTGCCATGTTAGACCTGACACATGGTGCTATATTCCCTTGAATGGGCTGTTTTCCTGTATCCTGAGGGGCAGTTAGTGCTGTTGCATGGTTTGTAGTAAGCGTTGTGTGGCTTCTTTTCACAGATGTGGGCAATATTGATAGCTGTTGTTGTCATTATCATCATCATCATCATCATCGGTAAGTTTCACCAAAGTGGGGATTCCTCATAGGCTTGGAATTAATGGTGTTAATTCACTGACTGGTATAGTTTAAATAAAGCCACGATACTCAAATAGAAGTACTACTTCAACATTAATTTGAAGTAGTAGTGACAGCTTTAACAAGCATTGTTTGCAGTGAATGGTAAACTGGGACTACTGTGGGAGCTCCAGGACCTGAATCTCAACCACCTTGCTATGAAAATAGCAAGGACTTAGAAACCAGGAATAGACGTGCTTTTTTTTTTTTTTTTTTAGCTGCATGTTGCAGAAGCGTAAGATCAAATTCCACACACCTCCCTTGTCCGAGAACTATTCATCATTTGCCATAGCTTCCTGCTAGATAAACCTCTTTTGGTTTGGGAGTTCCAAGTGCACTGCCATAGCAGGGAGGTTTTCTTTGAGTAGAGGTTTTGCTGCCAGATGAAATGAGTATAACGTTGGGTTAGGATGGAGAGCCAGGGAATGTATAGTTCAGTCTTTGAGTCCCCATGTAATCACCAGATATTTAATGGGAAGACAAAGGTTTTAAGTTTGTGCCGTGATACAGTAACAAACACTGCAGTAACCACTGACATCAGAGATGTCCTCCTGGGTGAGAAGTACTGGAAGGCAAGCACAAAGGAAGAATGCAGCTAAGAAAACCAACATGGGCAAATTCTTAGATTTAGAGGATTTAAGAGGGATTTATCTTTATTATCTTAAATTCTTAAAATGCAGGACTGTTATGGTGAGGGGCTGAAGGACACTGCCCCACTTCTTTCTTTTTTTTGTAGTCTCGACTTCTTCATGAGTTACAGGAAGAAACTCAGATCAACTGAAGGTGCCTCTGAATCTTCAGCCTCTCCACTTCAAACCTGCTGCATTTTCAGTCCATTTACTGCTGTTTAAAGCAAAACTATTTTCATTACTGAAATGTTAACTAACTTAACTGGTTGCCTTAAGACACTCCTGCCATTAATTACTAACAAGCACAGCTCACCACTTGCACAGTGCCTTAATAAAGTGGGGTGCAGAGCTCGTGAGTCGGACCCGGCTCTGGAGCTGCGCGACCGCCGCTGTGCT